TGTGGAGACAAAGAACTTTGTCCTTGGAGGCAGAGAGAGGAATGTATGAGAGTATAGTTTTACCAACGCTCTTATATGGGTGTGAAGCATGGGTGATGAATGTTGCAGCGAGGAGAAGGCTGGAAGCAGTGGACATGTCATGTCTGAGGGCAATGTGTGGTGTGAATATAATGCAGAGAATTCGTAGTTTGGAAGTTAGGAGGGGGTGCGGGATTACCAAAACTGTTGTCCAGAGGGCTGAGGAAGGGTTGTTGAGGTGGTTCGGACATGTAGAGAGAATGGAGCGAAACAGAATGACTTCAAGAGTGTATCAGTCTGTAGTGGAAGGAAGGCGGGTAGGGGTCGGCCTAGGAAAGTTTGGAGGGAGGGGGTAAAGGAGGTTTTGTGTGCGAGGGGCTTGGACTTCCAGCAGGCATGCGTGAGTGTGTTTGATAGGAGTGAATGGAGACAAATGGTTTTTAATACTTGACGTGCTGTTGGAGTGTGAGCAAAATAACATTTATGAAGGGGTTCAGGGAAACCGGCAGGCCGGACTTGAGTCCTGAAGATGGGAAGTACAGTGCCTGCACTCTGAAGGAGGGGTGTTAATGTTGCCGTTTAAAAACTGTAGTGTAAAGCACCCTTCTGTCAAGACAGTGATGGAGTGAATGATGGTGAAAGTTTTTCTTTTTTGGGCCACCCTACCTTGGTGGGAATCGGCCAGTGTGATAATAATAAAAAATAATCATTTTTGATGTCCATCCATTTGGCAAAGATTTCCTTAATGAAGTAGGGGCTTCCTCTATCTCCTTTTCTGAGCTTGAAGATCAGAGTGCATCCATCTTAGCCTTGTGCTCCTCTTTCTCAAGTTCCTGCAGCTCCTCAGTGGTCAGCTCTTCCCTGTGCCCCTCCTCTAACTCCTCCACATCACCATCACTCTCATCCAGACCCATGGACCTGCCCAGAGACAATATCCTCCACTATAGACACAGCCTCAAAGCCCTCAAAGTCCCTTTCAGCCACTGCTTCTGGCCACAAATTCCTCCAAGCAGAGTTCATTGTTCTGTATGAAACTTCCTGCCAGGCTTTGTCAATGAGAGTTATGCAATGGGCAATAGTAAAGTGATCTTTCCAAAACACTCTTAGGGTTAACTCTGTGTCAGAGGTCACTTCAAAGAACCCCTGGAATAGTGCTTAAGTGTAGTTTCTTGAAATTACTGATGACCTGCTGATCCATGGGCTGAATGAGAGTTGTGTTAGGGGAAGAAACTTTACAGTGGTGAAGTCAAACTTCGGCAGCACATAGTCCTGCAAGCTTGGAGGGTGAGCTGGAGCATTGTCCATTATGAGGAGGGCCTTTAGAGGCAGGTTTTTCTCATCTAAATTACTTTTTACACTTGGCCCAAACATAACATTAAACCATTTGCTAAAATATTCTCTGGTTACTCAAGCCTTGCTGTTTGACCTCCACATCACAGGTAACAGTTTTCCGCACGTTATGTTTTTTAAAGGCCCTTGGGTTTTTAGAGTGGTAGATCAGTAGAGGCTTCAGTTTGTAATCCCCACTTGCATTGGCACAGAACAAGAGAGTTAGCCTATCCTTCATTGGCTCGTGTCCTGGTAATTCCTTCCCTTGTGTAATATAGGTCCAGTTTAGCATTTTCTTCCAAAACAGGCCTGTTTTGTTACAATAAAAAACTTGTTGGGAAACAAAACCCTCAGCCTCCACAAATTCCCTCAAATCTGTAACAAAATCATTGGCAGCATCTTTATCAGCACTGGCTCCCTCTCCATGCCTCACAACACTGTGAATGCCAGTCCTCTTAAAATTATCAAACTAGCCATGGCTGCCTTTAAACACTTCACTTTCTTGGCTTGTTCCTGCCTTGTTTTTCAAAAGATCGGCATGCATCAGTTTTGCTTTTCCACAAATCATTGCCTCTGATACGCTATCACCGGCACACTGTTTTTCTGTTACCTAGATCAAAAGCGAGCAGTGTCGTGACTCATTTTGACTTGTACAAGTTCTAGCACGCAAGTCGTATTCCAAACAGAGGTCATGTACCAAGCAAAAATCTTTGCATCCAAACAGGACGTATACCAAGTTGGACTTATTCCAAAGCGGATGTATGCCGAGGTACCATTGAATTAATTTCTGATTTTGTATTAATCAGTTATAATATAAAAAATGGAACATAGTTTGTAATTAAAATCATAGCCTTGTCCTCTTTTTATTTGGAGATATGCCCCAGAAAAGAAAAGTTGTTCAATTAGTGCTGCTTAATCAATCACTTCAAAACGAACATCATTTTTTTTTTTCAACAAGCCGGCCATATCCCACCAAGGCTGTGTGGCCCAAAAAGAAAAACGAAAGTTTTTCTTTTTTATTTATTTATTTTTTTTATTATCACACTGGCCGATTCCCACCAAGGCAGGGTGGCCCGAAAAAGAAAAACTTTCACCATCATTCACTCCATCACTGTCTTGCCAGAAGGGTGCTTTACACTACAGTTTTTTAAACTGCAACATTAACACCCCTCCTTCAGAGTGCAGGCACTGTTACTTCCCATCTCCAGGACTCAAGTCCGGCCTGCCGGTTTCCCTGAACCCCTTCATAAATGTTACCTGCTCACACTCCAACAGCACGTCAAGTATTAAAACCATTTGTCTCCATTCACTCCTATCAAACACGCTCACACATGCCTGCTGGAAGTCCAAGCCCCTCGCACACAAAACCTCCTTTACCCCCTCCCTCCAACCTTTCCTAGGCCGACCCCTACCCCGCCTTCCTTCCACTACAGACTGATACACTCTTGAAGTCACTCTGTTTCGCTCCATTCTCTCTACATGTCCGAACCACCTCAACAACCCTTCCTCAGCCCTCTGGACAACAGTTTTGATAATCCCGCACCTCCTCCTAACTTCCAAACTACGAATTCTCTGCATTATATTCGCACCACACATTGCCCTCAGATATGACATCGCCACTGCCTCCAGCCTTCTCCTCGCTGCAACATTCATCACCCATGCTTCACACCCATATAAGAGCGTTGGTAAAACTATACTCTCATACATTCCCCTCTTTGCCTCCAAGGACAAAGTTCTTTGTCTCCACAGACTCTAAGTGCACCACTCGCCCTTTTCCCCTCATCAATTCTATGATTCACCTCATCTTTCATAGACCCATCTGCTGACACGTCCACTCCCAAATATCTGAATACATTCACCTCCTCCATACTCTCTCCCTCCAATCTGATATCCAGTCTTTCATCACCTAATCTTTTTGTTATCCTCATAACCTTACTCTTTCCTGTATTCACTTTTAATTTTCTTCTTTTGCACACCCTACCAAATTCATCCACCAATCTCTGCAGCTTCTCTTCAGAATCTCCCAAGAGCACAGTGTCATCAGCAAAGAGCAACTGTGACAACTCCCACTTTATGTGTGATTCTTTATCTTTTAACTCCACGCCTCTTGCCAAGACCCTTGCATTTACTTCTCTTACAACCCCATCTATAAATATATTAAACAACCATAAATTTAGTAATTTGTACAGGAGAAGGGGTTACTAGCCCCTTGCTCCCGGCATTTTAGTCACAACACGCATGGCTTACAGAAGAAGAATTCTGTTCCACTTCCCCATGGAGATAAGAGGAAATAAACAAGAACAAGAACTAGAAAGAAAATAGAAGAAAACCCAGAGGGGTGTGTGTATATATATATATATATATATATATATATATATATATATATATATATATATATATATATATATATATATATATTATATATTATATATATAATTATACAGTGGACCCCGCATAACGATTACCTCCGAATGCGACCAATTATGTAAGTGTATTTATGTAAGTGCGTTTGTACGTGTATGTTTGGGGGTCTGAATGGACTAATCTACTTCACAATATTCCTTATGGGAACAAATTCGGTCAGTACTGGCACCTGAACATTACTTCTGGATGTGAAAAAATATCGTTAACCGGGGGTCCACTGTATATATATTATATATATATATATATATATATTATATATATATATATATATATATATATATATATATTATATATATATATATATATATATATGCGCTTGTACATATATGTGTAGTGTGACCTAAGTGTAAGTAGAAGTAGCAAGACGTACCTGTAATCTTGCATATTTATGAGAGACAAAAAGACACCAGCAATGAACATCATATATTATTTAAAACATATTTCTATAGATAGCTCTGGAGATGAAAGGTGTTTTAGGAAGACGTAAGTAAAACAGTACAAAGTATGGTTTTTGTCCCATGTTTAGTAGTGAAATACTGATGTAATCAGTCCATCAACCTTGGAGAAAAAGTATTTAAGGTGGTCAGTGCTTCAGCCTGGAGAGATGGTCAGTTCCTCTGCCTGGAGAAGAGTTCAGCTTCATGGTCTGGAATGATATGAAGCTGAAACATGAGAATAGAGTCTTAGGTGATGGACTGATTATATCATATCCCATGTTATATTGATGGGGAGCACTAAACTCTCAGGGATCTTACAATGTCTTAGGAAAAATAGGTATTCAGGTTTGATTCAAGGATGGTAGATTAGTTCTACTTGCTTAGATCAAAAGCACTTGAGCTGCATTAAGGCACCACTCCCACAAAATGTCTATGGAAATATGAGACAGCATAAGTAAGTTTATTCAGGTAAACACAAATAGTTGCTTAGATTATCATACATAGCATCATATGTGTAGAGAACCTAGGATAACTTAAAAAAAAAAAGTCAGGCAACTAAGCCTAAAAATGCATATACAGTACACACATTACTTAAAAATATTTTCATCCTTAGCTTATAGTGAGTGGTGAATGTGTATTTATTGAAGGAAGTCTTAATAAATGAAGAATGTGTATAACTGAAAAACTGCCACATTAGTAAAAACACTAAGGCAGCGAAGCACTGTAAAGCAGGGTCCCCCCTGTAAATGTTGTTCATTATTAAAATTTTATATAAACTGCAAATGGATTTTATTTCAGTTTCTGGTGCATTTTAAGCAGACACAAGAAGGGCTACAAAGATACACACTCAAAGACACAAGAGGCAGTTGGATTAACCTGTGTTGAGGATAGTGAGAATGAAAAACAAAAAAGATTAGCAGTTGTTAAGGAAAAACTTTTCTTGCTGTTGGTAAGTTTTCTGTTTACTTTTTGAGAACTTGAGTCCTGCACTTGTATAAATAATAATAATAATAATTATTATTTTACAAACATTTGTTTCAGATTTCATTGTCAGGGATGCGAATAAAAATATTAAAATGCAGCATTTGACGTAATTCTCATAGAGACTGAATTAATTTTAAAGAATAGTAATGTAATACCAAATTTTATTATAATTTTGAGCCACTTTCAAAACCTTTTAATTGATGAGCACTTAAATATGCCTTTCATTACTCCCCGGTTTTCATACTCCCAGCTTCCATGTAAAACCACAGTTATTCTCTATAAAATGTATTTTTTTTTATATTTCCCATAAAAAATAATGTAAATCCAATTAATCCACTCCAGACACCCAAAAAATATTAACAAGAAATACATTTTATGGAGAATAACTATGGTTTTACATGCAAGCTGGAGAGTATGAAAACTGAGGGTCCACTTATATCAAATATAAAAAATGAAGACCCAGTTCTGGATCAGGGAGAGCAAAGTCACTGGATAACAGCATCATATCCTGAATCAGTTAGTCAGATTTATTTCACATGATACAAAGTTTATACAGAAATGGGTGATGCTTGATTATATGCAAAAAGCCCTTAGTTATGCAGAAGATTTTGGCCAAGTAAAGCTATTGTTATCCTCTGTATATAACATTGAATTACTGCAGCAAGCATGTCAGCCAAATTTCATTTACATAGCACCCATTAATCACACTGTGCAACAGTAGATTGTCAGTGAAATGTCTCTCTTGGAATGAAATTGTAATCGACAGCCCCAGCCACAATGCCATATATGATTTGTGGCTTATACTGGATGTGGTACTTCTAGAGGCTGCTGAAAAGGTGAAGCTAAACTGTTCAGTTAAGTGCATTCACTGTTAAGAGACATGCATGCTCCAACTTCCGAGTTGATTCTGATGTACCTGGGCTACCTGAATCTTAACATTGTTATATAACCCATGTAGAGTCCACTGAATGAGACAGCAGTCGGTTCATAAAGATAACTGAAGGTCATTTTTGTTGTGATGTAATCTGAGTTAAGAGAAACATTGTGAATACATTTCTGCATTTTATAAAAACGATACGTCAGTTTTTTCACTATTGTACAAATGACATTTCACTCAATTTCCTGCTTAAAAATGTCTGTGGGGAATTCATAACTGAATTGCAAAAACTTGTATATACAGGTATTACACTCTGTTGCTTGACCACTTGATTAGATTAGATTAGATTTTGCCACCTAAGTGGCTAGTTTATTGTGCACCCCATATCCATCCTGTGGACGGTAGCGCAAGAGCATATGGATACACAAAAGGCCTAGGAACTAGGCCCCAAAGGGTTAACAGGAATACATATGGATTTATATCTACATATCTATAGTTGCAAAAGAAGAAAATTAAAGGTGAATACAGGAAAGAGTAAGGTTATGAGGATAACAAAAAGATTAGGTGATGAAAGATTGAATATCAGATTGGAGGGAGAGAGTATGGAGGAGGTGAATGTATTCAGATATTTGGGAGTGGACGTGTCAGCGGATGGGTCTATGAAAGATGAGGTGAATCATAGAATTGATGAGGGGAAAAGAGTGAGTGGTGCACTTAGGAGTCTGTGGAGACAAAGAACTTTGTCCTTGGAGGCAAAGAGGGGAATGTATGAGAGTATAGTTTTACCAACGCTCTTATATGGGTGTGAGCATGGGTGATGAATTTTGCAGCGAGGAGAAGGCTGGAGGCAGTGGAGATGTCATGTCTGAGGGCAATGTGTGGTGTGAATATAATGCAGAGAATTCGTAGTTTGGAAGTTAGGAGGAGGTGCGGGATTACCAAAACTGTTGTCCAGAGGGCTGAGGAAGGGTTGTTGAGGTGGTTCGGACATGTAGAGAGAATGGAGCGAAACAGAATGACTTCAAGAGTGTATCAGTCTGTAGTTGGAAGGAAGGCGGGGTAGGGGTCGGTCTAGGAAAGGTTGGAGAGAGGGGGTAAAGGAGGTTTTGTGTGCGAGGGGCTTGGACTTCCAGCAGGCATGCGTGAGCGTGTTTGATAGAGTGAATGTAGACAAATGGTTTTTAATACTTGACGTGCTGTTGGAGTGTGAGCAAAGTAACATTTATGAAGGGGTTCAGGGAAACCGGCAGGCCGGACTGAGTCCTGGAGATGGGAAGTTACAGTGCCTGCACTCTGAAGGAGGGGTGTTAATGTTGCAGTTTAAAAACTGGAGTGTAAAGCACCCTTCTGGCAAGACAGTGATGGAGTGAATGATGGTGAAAGTTTTTCTTTTTCGGGCCACCCTGCTTGGTGGGAATCGGCCGTGTGATAATAAATAAAATAAAATCTATAGTTCACTTATCTGTTGCAAGCAAATTTAGGAAATTTGCTTAGTATATCTGGTATCTTATTTTCATTAATAAGATATCTTGACATGTCACATAGGTTATTATACTGTCTGTCTCTGTATTCCTCAATAAGTGGACAATTAAGCACATAGTGTTCAAGAGAGTGACCATATGCCTGATCACATAATTTACATTTAGTTTGATCATCATCTGTGTGTCTCCCAAACTGCCAGAAGTACTTGTAACCAAGCCTAAGCCTGGCCACTACAACATCAGTCAGTACTTGTAACCAAGCCTAAGCCTGGCCACTACAACATCAGTCATGTATCTGTTCACATTTTGCAAGTTGCTCCATAAACATACTTATCTACGTTCATGTTATCATAGTGGGTTATAGATCTACTCAGGCTTCTAACTGCATTCCTATAACAATCATTTTCATTATTTGCTTCTCTCCTAATATTATTCCTAATGCTAGACACAGTTATGCCAAAGTTATATTCTACATTCTCCTTCTGGGTACTCTTCTTGGCTAACATATCAACTTTATCATGAAGGAGTAATCCAATGTGTGATGGATGCAGTTCAAGATTTTTCAATATTATAGATGGAAATAAGTTACTGACTTTTTGGGGGGTTATCCTAGGAAATTGTGCTTGTGCACCTGTGCCTAAATAAACTTACGATCATCTTGAATTTCGAGGTTTTCCTGGTCTGAGACTCCCAGGAGGTTCAGTGCTTAATCTCACTGTGACCCCTTAAAAAATCAACTTGTTAGGATTTTTTCCCCACGTTTGGTTGAATTTGGCTTAATGTTCTTGGATAAATGGGAGGTAATCAGATTTAATTGGATGAAAATGAGGATAGCTTCATATCATTGGACCAAGAGCACTTTGCTGAAACGTTATTTACTTCATTTCTTTTTCCTCAAATGTATAAATATTTGTTGATTATATGTTCTTTATTACATAAGTGGTCCTTGCATATATTATTTACGGGTTAGCTCGAAAGTAAAGAAATAGTGATTGTGTTCCTTTTCCACGTTGATAGAACTTCGTTATTAAATTTAATAATTTTTTTTGTTCATGAATGCATTGATTTAAAAATTATCAAATTTCTCTGCCAGGTGGGGTCATAGCTTTGTCTAACCAAGTGGGGTCATAGCTTTGTATCTGCAGGTGGGGTCATAGCTTTGTTCTGCCAGGTGGGAAGTCATTTAGCTTTGTTGTCCTGCCTGAGTTGGGATCATAGCTTTTTCTCTGCCAGTGGGGTCGTTGGCTTTGTGTCTGCCTGGTGGGTCGTAGGTTTTGTTTGTGGTAATGGGCCTGATATAGTGCCTGGTAAATGAAAGTTAATCAGGCAGTGACCATGGTCGTTCATGGTAACATTCCAGAGCCCCATCCCTTCAGACAAGAGGACATAGTAACCAACCAAGGAGTTGTACTTCCGAGTAAGGACTAATTTTTTTTAGCAGATGCATTTGTTTGATATCGTGTTATGCATAAACATAATATATTTATGCTGGTGCATATTTTCTAAACTTTGATAAATTTGTATTTTGCTATATTTTTGAGTTTCATAAGAAAGCCTCTAATGTATATGAACCTGCATCATAATTTAAAAAATTGTAAAAAAAAAAAAAAAAAAAAAAAAAAAATAAAAAAAAATAACTTTAGTTATATTTCTCATATCAATCTTTCTTCTGTTTCAGAGAGCTCAAAAATATTTGTTACCACTTACAGTGTTTTACTTTGTCATGTACTTCACCAACCAAGGACTGGTAAGCTGAGATTATCAGTTATGCTTTGGTACAGATATACTTCTATATCAGATATGGGCCCATAGGTATATTGCAGTGCTCCTCTGTATTCATGTTTAGACAATGGACCAAGTAATACTATTGGTGATAGGAATTTACGGGTCAGGCACGTGCATTATACTATAAAACATAATTACATGTTAACTAGCAAAAACAAATCCTATAATGGATAATAACTAATGGATTGTTTCCTCTCTTCCATGTATGTGATCATCAGCTAGAGTTAGTGTACTTCCCAGCATCACAAATGACACATGCACAGCAGTACTCCTGGAGCAACACCATACGTTGCCTTGGTACCCTTATCTCCCGCAGTGACACACAAATTATTCCTTCTCTCCAGCACCTGGATTTACTCTGGTTTGGCTGTAAGTGATGTCAAAACAGTTTATTGACTCTGTTTATACTATGTATAGCATTTTATTTTAAATAATGTTACTCCTTTATGTATTGTACCTGGTTTCAAATGTCCAAGTAGGAAATAATGTTGGGAAACTATTCTGTGAAGAATAAAATAGTGGTTCTGATGGTGGTTTATTCGTCAGGAAACTGTTAACAACTTAATCAGATGACAAGTTCACTGATCAAGCATCCGCTGGTCTACCTTAGGTTTTAAACTCCATGTGGAAAAATAAGATCATTACTTGTTTTACTACGAGAGCTAAATCAATAGACGTCATATAGTTCCTTGAAAATAGGAAAGCTCCATTTCCACGAGTCCAGAATCTTCAAACCACCTGGATCACTACATAGTGTATCTTAAGATAAGTTTCATCTTAGTATTCTAAAGGCAGTTCCTTAATTTAACAATAGTTGCTACTTCCTGCATTCTAGATACTATACTTTATTAGCATTATTATTATTATAATCAAGGGGGAAGCGCTAAAACCGGAGGATTATACAGCGCCTGGGGGGGGGATGTGGAAGGCATTCAGGCTTAATTCGGGGAATGGAGCACAGATCCAATTCCCTAAATCAAGAGCCCCTCACCAACATCAAGGAACCTTCCTTGAGGGGCTACTGTATTAGCAATATTGTGACTGGCAAATGTAGAATATTATACTATCTGTTTTTTTAATCTTGGTAGCCTATCTATGATTTAGTAAATAAAATCATTAGTATTTTATTCACACATAAGCTCTAAATCTGTTAGATCATACAGGACCTGGAAAAAAGGATTTATTAATATCATCATCATTAGTAACAGTAGGTTGGTAGACAGCAGGTGCCAGGGAGGTTCTACTGTCCTGCCAAGTAAGTGTAAAACGGAAGCCTGTAATTGTTTTACATGATGGTAGGGTTTTCTGGCATCTTTTCTGTCTCATAAACATCCAAGATTTTGGGCTACACTTCTTTCATTGGGATATGGGCCGGTTTGTTGAAAGAAGATCATTATTATTATTTAGAATGTAGGGAAATGTATACATTTTACTTTCGTTCTTCTTTCCTGTGAAGATGCTAGAAACAATCACTTTTTTGTCTTCCTGCAGATGGTAATCCTGGTAGTGGTAGGAATGGAGGCACACTACCACTACCTACCATCAGAATACATCATCTTTACACTGCTTTTCCTACAGGGTCTTCTGGAAGGTGCTGCCTTCAGGTCAACAGTATTCACTGTGCATGAAAAGGTAAGATTATAAAAAAAAGCAGTTGAACAATTGCATTTGTTACTAGTAATGCACAGTGATAACCTCATTACTGTACCTTGTATTAAATCATAGCTATAATTTGTACTATGTAGGAGAGAGTTATTGTAATCAAAACTAAGATGTAGGAGAGAAGGAATATTAATTGGCACTTTTCAGTAAACTCTTGCTGTCATCAGGATAAGAAGAAACCTAAGTACACTGCAAATATGATACAGAATGTATATTTGGCATTCCTAGGACCTTGACTTTGAAATAATGATTTATTGTATAAAAAAATGCTTTTCGTGTTTAATAAGTGAAAAGTGTTTCATCAGCTTGATAGTCCACATACCATTTAGACAAAAGAGACAGTATCCTGCAAATGGATAGATTACATTTTAACTGGAAATCAACGAAAACATAACTTTATTAAGGACCTCGATAATGTGCATTGATACCCTTTACCCTGTCTCCAAACTTCTGGTCTCTAATGCCAACAACTTTGCCATGTATCTCTGAACGACTCAAATTGCTTTTTATTGTAATTAGGAATGTGTGTACATGTGTGTGTCCATGTACATACTCGCCTATTTGTGGTTGCAGGGGTCAGTTGACAGCTCCTGTCCCCGCTTCTTCACTGGTCACTACTAGGCCCACTCCCTGCTCCATGAGCTTTATCATATCTCTTCTTAAAGCTATGTATGGATCCTGTCTCCACTACATCACTCTCCAGATTGTTCCACTTCCTTACAATTATATGACTGAAGAAATACTTCCTTACCTCCCTGTGACTCATCAAAGTTTTCAACTTCCAGCTATGTCCCATCTCTGAAACATCCTATCCCTATCCACCTTGCCAATTCCTCTCGGTATTTTATATATCGTCATCACGTCTTCCCTATCCTCTAGTGTCTTCAGGTTGATTTCCCTTAACTTCTCCTCGTAGGACGTACTGCTTAGCTCCGGGACAAATCTTGTTGCAAAAACCCCTTTCACTTTCTCAAATTTCTTGATGTGCTTGACAAGGTGTGGGTTCCATACTGGTGCTGCATACTCTAATATGGACCTGGCATGAATGGTGTACAGTCTTTTGAATGGTTCCTTACTTAAGTGTCGAAATGCTATTCTTAGGTTTGCCAGGTATCCATGTGCTGCAGCAATTATTTGGTTGACATGCGCCTCAGATGTGCTCGGTATTATACTCGCCCCAAGATCCTTTTCTTTGAGTGAGGGGTTGCAGTCTCTGGCCTCCTAGCTTGTACTCTGTGGTTTTCTTTGACCTTCACCAATTTTCATGACTTTGCACTTGGGGGGGTTAAACTCCAGGAGCTGGCTGTTGGACCAGATCCCTTTGTAGTCCTACTTGAGCCTCGTGCACTTCAATTCTCCGTATTAGCCTCGCATCGTCTACAAGCAGGGACACCTCTGAATCTATCCCTTCTGTCATATCATTCACATATACCAGAAAATGCACCGACCCTAGGACTGACCCTTGTGAAACCTCACTCGTCAAAGGCGACCACTCTGATACCTTGTCACGTACCATCACTTGTTTCCTTCCTGTCAGGTATTCTCTGATCCATTGCAGTGCCTTTCCTGTTATTCCTGCCTGCTCCTCTAACTCTTACACTAATCTCTTGTGCGGAATTATGTCAAAAGCCTTAGTCCAAGAAAATGTAGTTTACTCACCCCTCTCTCTCTCTCTCTCTCTCTCTCCTGCGATACTTCTGTTGCCTTGTCATAAAACTCCAGCAGATTTGTGACACAGGATTTCCCCTTCCTGAAACCATGCTGTTTATCATGTATAAGCTCTTTCTAGGCACTCCAAGGTCTTCTGATAAGCTTCTCCATGATATGTCAGTGACACTGGTCTGTAGTTTAATGTTACCTATCTCCTTTCTTAAAGATTAGGACTACATTTGCTGTCATCCATACCTTAGGCAGTTGCCATTTCAATAGATGTGTTGAAGATTGTTCGTGGCACACAGTGCCTCTGCTCCCTCTCTCATGACCCACAGATATATATCCAGTCCCACTGCCTTTGAGGTATCTAGCTCACTTAGCAGCCTCATCACCTCAGTTGTGTGTAGTGTGTCCAGCACTTGTTGGTGTACCCTTCATCCCAGTTTGCTGGCATCCTTTCTGTCTCCACTGAAAATACTTCTTTAATTTTGTCTTGAGCTCTTCACATACTTTTTGGTCATTTCTAGTGATCTCCCCTCCTTCCTTTCTCAGCCTGATTACCTCATCCTTGACTTGTTTTCCTCCTGATATAGCTGTACAGCTGCTTTGTGTCAGAGTTGACTTTTGATGCTGTGTTATTCTTGTATTGCTGCTGGGCCTCCCTCCTTATCCATGATTATTTGTTTCTGGTTCTTCGGCTAATCTCCTTATTTTCCTGAGTCTGTCTTCTATTATTATATAAAAAGGAAGTGCTAAACCTACAAGGGTCATACAATGTGTGTGTTGGGGGGGGGGGGTCAGTGTGTAAGGATACAAATACATAGTAATGATTTGGACACCATTAGAGAAGGATTTGCATTAGAGCATTGTGGAACTTAACATATTTTCTTTCTTTTCAGGCTGGTGACAAGGAACGAGAATTTTGTTGGGAATTTTCCCTGTATCTTTATTTCTTTCCAGCAATGCTAGCTGGATTTGCCTCATACCTGTTCACGATGTGCTTTGTCAGAACCACCTTTATCTGCAATAATATACATGACCAGTACTGGGAGAAATACAAATATGTTCAACTTGTCTCTATAATCTTAATTCAGGAATAAGCAGCCTTATGTGATTTGAAAATTGCATGTACATAGCTAAAATGTAGCTTTTATCCAATATATCAACAGTAAATGTTAATAGTGTCTTGAAAAGCACTCCCAAAAAAAATTTTTAAAAAG